CAGTCAGCACGCTGCAGTACAAGGTACATCTCAAGCCAAATACTCAGACGGTCTTCACCCAGGAGACACTTTCAAGGGAAGCTAGAACTGGCACAGCTTCTTTCAAAAGCAGCATCTGCCTGCTCCAGACTTGAATCACACTGCCTCATCAGCACAAAACACAGAAAAGAATCTTATACCCACTAGAGTTCAGCTCCCAAAGCCAGTCTTGCGAGGCCAAACCATCAGACTTAAGTTGGAAGTCTGCACAGCCTTCCCCCATTACTCACTCACGTGGCATGATGAAATCAGGGCAATCTGTTATCCTTCCACTCGTTTCTGCACAAAGTCCTACTGACAGTTCTGCTCAGCATTTAGTGTTCAGGCTGCCATCAACTCTAGTGTAAGCACTTCTGAGCAGGTAAGATCAGGAAAAGAGGAGAAACGTGGGCTTAGAACTGCATGCTCCGCCACTCTCTGCAGGGCCAAGCGGCTGTTCAGACAGGAGAAGGGCAGAGAGTGGGAAAAGCACTTATGTTATTCTTCTAAGCTATCAGATATGTGGCAGCCTTGAAGAAGCTTAGCATTACTGGGACTGATCAAGGAAACGAGTGTGATTTCTGAAAAGAGGAATCTTTTAGCTCTGATAAGCATTAATCAAGTAAGGATCTAAGCTTTGGCAGATGCAGCAGAGCTGGGAAAAACTGCCTGGCATATTTAATAGAATCCCAGACTGGTTTGGGTTGGAAGGGACCTTAAAGCTCATCCAGTTCCAACCCCCTGCCATCAGCAGGGACACCTTCCACTAGACCAGGTTGCTCAAAGCCTCATCCAACCTGGCCGAGAACACTTCCAGGGAGGAGCAGCCACAGCTTCTCTGGCCAACCTGGGACACTGTCTCACCACCTCACAGCAAAGAATTTCTTCCTAATATCTAATCTAACACCCTTGATAAAGGAGTGTTACCTTCATTTGTCAGCAAAGGAAACTGAGGCAAGGAACAGCTTTGAGTTGCCTCCTGCCAGGCAGAGGCAGCACCAGATGAATAGCTAGTTTTTTCAAATAAAACCACAAACTCCTGAGCCATATGCTGTGCTACCAGAAAATGTGTTTTATAAAAAGCATGTCTGAGGACAGAAGCAGGTCTGTGTGGAGAAAGCATTCACACTGTGCCTCTACTGATTACATCACATCTCTGTTAAGCAATTGGTTCAATTAAAATTTTGAATGAAGCTCTTGTAATAGCTGGTCACCAAAAAATGGGTAGAAAAATCACTGATCAAGATCAGAAAGGCTTGTGCTCCTAACTCAGGTGCCACTGTTTCTCTCATAAAAATAGTATGCGGTGTTACAATATGTCAGTTCCCAAAACATTTCTTGGTGCTGCTCCTCCAGGTTGCTGTTGGCCCAAATGACACCATTTATTGCTTCCAGGCCGGCAGTAGCAATAAACCACTTCATTCTGCTGACCAAAAATAAATCAATGCCTGAAGCCAAACTAAGACATCAGTTAGAGCAAAGGAGACCAAGGAAGAAACATGGAAAGTTTTGTGAAAGGGTCATTTAGATAAGTGACAAAGTGTGTGTATGCTGATTGCAGAGCTATTTGTATTTAACTGGGAGTCAAACCTTGACGGCTGACTCGCCTGCTTGAAAACAATACGTAGAAGAGAGAAACAAGAGGAGCTGAAAGTATTACAAGAAGTTCATGTAAAACTTAGGTGAGGAAAATTTTTCAGTTTCATTAACCATTCCAACAGGAATTCACCATCAGGAAGGTCGACTGACTGTGTCTTCTGCTATGGCAGCAAATGCACAGCTCCAACTTTGTTCATCGTACATTGTAGCCAAGCACAGGAACAGACCTCCCAGGGGGGCTGTGGGGTCTCCCGGAGAGGTGGCTTCTAAAGGACTGGCTGGACAAATATCATCCTGAGATGGGTTAGGTGGGGATAAGCACAAGTTGGAAGGGACCCATAAGGATCACTGAGTCCAGCTCCTCACTTTAGGGGAAGGACCAAGCCAGGTCAGCTCATACCTCCTTTCAAAAACAGGCCATTAAAACCCAAACAAATATTCTTATGTGAACATGTAACTAATCAGCATCTCAAATTTTGCCTGTTTTTTCATTTGATTGCTATGAAAACCATTGTGGCAATACTGTAAAATGTATCTATGGACTGCTTTCTCATAAACATCAGTAATCCTCCAGTTTAAAAGCTGATGGACATGAGGAGAAACAACACTTAAAAGTCCTTTTCAGACCTCTTTATTGTAGAGTTCTATAATGAGGATTTACTGTGCCATTCTGATAAGTTCAAATGCCTTTAACTTATAACTTGCTGCGTTGTAATCATAAAGGACAGTTTGTATTCATAAAAAGTACACAGCACTCTTGTATTTCTGGACAGAAAAAAAAGCATTTCAGCCAGCAAGGAAAAAAAAAAGAAAAAAAATCAACAGAGCATAAAATCTACTAACCAAATGCTGTAATTTAAACTTACAGGATGAGATTTTTTAAGAGTTTTACTGGTGTTTATTCCTAAACACTCAAGGTTACTAAAAGTGACATCGCCCACTTACAAAAAGCCAGTGACAATGAGGACTACTTCAGGGAATTTTTTTCTCCCCACTCTGAAAGTAGCTGCACAAAATGTTGGCAAATGAGCAACCGTCTGCTTGGATTTTGCACCTAGCAGTAGAGAAGAAAAATGTTCTTACGAATGTAGGAAAATGAGTTTAGACAGTCACCAAAACCAGTCCAGAAATTTATGAACAACTGATTTTGGTTATAAACCAACTAGATCTCAAAGCCACCTTCTCAAAGCCATCTTCTCATTAAAATAATCCTTCCAATTAATGTCCCAAAAATGTTTCTCATCACAGATAGACTTAAACTTGCCTCCCTTGCAGCTGAAGCACTGAACACAGCTCTGACATGCCATATGAAGTCTATTCTACAGCACTTGGAGCAGTGGGGTACAAATACAGAGACAGCCAATTTCCACCTGCTACCCACCACTCTATAACAAAGTTGAGGTAAGATGGAATCACCTCCATCCATCTTGTGTTTTATAAAAATGCAATTTACAAAATCAGTAGCTTATTGATTGCTTGGCAGTGTCTCTCCCCCAACCTGAGCAAACAGCTATTACCCACGTCGGCTAAGTCAGACAGGACCTACTTCTACACTCGCATGAATGTAGCTCCTGCCTGTGTTACCTGTAAGAGAAGAGGAATGATATAAGCATGACTGCATTATGTCATGGCCACAGTTTTGTAGGGACCTGCACTTTCTGATCTATTACTGCTTTTAGTGCTGTGAGGCAATTAACAACAGACATTTTCCATTACAAGCATCTCCTTACAAAATATTTATTCAACATAAAAATCCAGAAATGGAAAACAGACATAAGCTGCATGGAAAAGCATAGGCTATTATGTGCCATTAAGTCATTAAGTGCAGCAGCATTTGATCTTGCACGTACTTGAAATACTTTGCAGGCACAGCTTCTGATTAGTCTCCTGTGGCAGGACACCTGGCCCTGTGCAGCTGAGGTGGAGAAGCCAAGGTGCTTGTGAAGCCAGCACGCTGTCCCCTCTCACCACCTCGAGAGGCAGAGCTTTCACTCCTCTGGCCAAGGAATGGCCACACACCCTTTGTACTTGAGGTTTCCAGTTTGAAGTATCCAGCATCTAGGTGCACCTGCAAGTCCAATAACAACTCCTTCAAGATTTGGATCTTACTGTCACCTCCCAGCGATTCCCACAGAAGAGAAAGCCCTCAGTATCATTATGATCTGGCTCCTTCAGTGAGGTACTCTGCAAGGTCCACCTTCTACAGATGCTTAGAAGCACCCATCAGATGTCTAATACCTGCTTCCAAAGGATGACCATCCTGATGACCGCAATAACTATATCCTACAGAGATAACCATCTATATTCTGTCTTCAACCCAATGTGACTTCAGATAATCTAGGTTTAAGGGCAGCCATATGGGATGATAACCACTGTGCTGGTTAGCAAGTTCCAACTCCAGTCACTCCTACTGGCAAGAATGACATTTACTAGAATCATTTTGCTAGGCTCAATTAGATGGATCAGAACGAAGGAAACTCAGTTCATTTGCTCTGTACCTTCTATTAACCAGACTTAGTGATCAGAAGAATTTCTCACAGGAAAACAGATGGCTCAGAGGTTGATAATGGGGGAGAGTTTCCATTAAAGTTGCTGCTTCTGATCCAGTCCAGACTAACTTTTGTTGCCTTCTGTTGCTTCCTCTGTAAAACAAGCAGAGGAGTTTAACACCCATCACAGAGACGCATCCATTGCAAAAGCCACTCACATCAAATGAGAACATTCTCCACCCTGTGCAGCATGAAGCCCACAGGAGCCGAAAAAGAGAAAGAGGATGAGACAGCACGTGAGACCTGCCCAGCCATTTTGCCTGCTACATGGCTTAGAGGAGATATTTTTCTCTGGAACACTAACGCTGTGTACAAAAGTCAGCAAAGAAAAACATTCTTGCCTGACAAAGAGAACCTGTTCCATCTCAATGTATGAGAAATGGGAAAAAGTCACTCTGGTTTGTACCACATTCCTTTCCACATCATTGAGGCTCTCCAAAGAACGGGAAATATGGAAACAGCTGTTCCCAGGAGACTCGAATGGGAAGAGCAAGATGAAATACATAGAATTACACTTTTCTCCAAACAGATCCGGTATTGTAAATATCAATTTGGAAGATAAAGAATAATAAATATTAATTATCCTTTCAGAAAATCCTCTCATACCCTTTCAGCCACCTAGCAAACACTTTTAACTGCAAATCCTCAGGAGTCTATGAGTAAGCTGTAAAGCTATCCAGTGAGGTGATGCAATCTATTTTTTATACCCCTGCCAGCTGCCTTTAAAATTTGCACTGGTCTAATGCGAACATGTTATAGAGAAGAATTCCCATTAATGGAGAGGGAGCCTGTCCTTCCCCAAAGCCAATTCATCTTTCTCTTCTGTGACAGACAGACTGTAAATCTCTTGGTGTCCCCCACTGCAGCTGCATGTTCTTCAGGCTTTTAACCATCCATATCTGTGAACTTTCTTTTCCCGTAATTCTGGACCAGACTAGAAGCTGTGATTTGAGAAGCCTGTCCCTTTTCCCAGCACTGGAAGTCATTCAGTCCTTTCTGCCCAGCTTGAAATAAGGCTCGCTCCAATTCATCCAGCCGAGCCACCAGCGCTGATGTGTCTTCATTGTAGGCATTCTGAGAGGAGTCCATGATACGACGAAAACGGCTAATAAACGTCTAAAGAAGATAAGCAGAATTACTGACAGGTAACACAGAGACGTCTTCAGCTCAAATGCTAGAGGCCTGAGCTTTCAAGACTAAAATGCCAAAGGTGCAGGCACAACTAGTCACGGGTCTGCAAACAGCACAGCACCTATTAACCTTGAATACAAAGACAAAACCATTTCCTGCCTAAGCTGGGACAGCAAGCACCTGATATGCTTACTGGATGGGAAGAAAGCATGGAATTAGATTTTGGTTGCTTCCTAATGACAGGTTTGAACAGACCACAGGGTATAACACAATTACAATCCATTCCATCCCACTTCACAAGCAATCGTTGCTTTAGAGCGGGTGGAATGCCACTGCAGCTACTGCAGGAACATACAAGCTGCAACTTGTGAACGGCCTGGAAGTTAAGCCAAACCACCACTATAAAGCATGTAAGTATGCTTGTATGTCAAGTATGCTGTAAAAACAGTTAACCACAAAAAAAGTCAAAAACCACATATCTACAGCTAATAAATAGCATTCTAAAAAGCTAAACGACAAGACATATTTAAGGATTTTTGCTTCCCTCCTTATCTTTGCTTTTGGGAATAATAAAAAAAAAAATAAAGGTCAAAACTCTCTGAAAACTGAGCTTTGTTATTTCAGAAGCTGATTTTAGAATCATCAGAACTGTACTATTTTAGAGATTTACTTATAGAATAAATATATTATAAATTAATAGCTCTCATTTTGGCTTTGTCACCAAAAAGTTATACTTTACATTTATAGTTCCTGAATATTTGGGAGAGGGTTTTTTTCATAGAATGGAATCATAGAATCTTTTGGTTGGAAAAGACCTTTTTGATCATTGAGTCCAACCGTACCCATCCACTACTGAACCAGATCTCTGAGCACCTCATCTACGCGTCTTTTAAACACCTCCAGGGATGGGGACTCCACCACTTCTCTAGGCAGCCTGTTGTAGTGTCTGAGAACCCTTTCAGTGAAGAAATCTTTCCTCACATCCAATCTGAACCTCCCTTGGCACAACTTGAGGCCATTTCCTCTTGTCCTGTCCCTTGGTCCTTGGTTGAACAGACCCACCCCCACCTCTCTCCACCCTCCTCCAAGGGACTTGGACAGAGCCAGAAGGTCTCCCCTCAGCCTCCTTTTCTCCAGGCTCAACACCCCCAGTTCCCTCAGCCACAAGGGAACTCAGCACACTTGTGCTCCAGACCCTTCCCCAGCTCCGTTGCCCTTCTCTGGACACGCTCCAGCACCTCCATGTCCTTCTTGGAGTCAGGGGCCCAACACTGAACCCAGCACTCGAGCTGCGGCCTCACCAGTGCTGAGTGCAGGGGAATGATGACTTCCCTGGTCCTGCTGGCCACACTGTTTCTGATACAAGTCAGGATGCTATTTGCCTTCTTGGCCACCTGTGCACACTGCTGGCTCGTATTCAGACAGCTGTCGACCAAGTGTTTATGGCTGTTTTGTTTATTTTTTAAGTGAGCACAACTCCCTTCTTGTTTGCTTTCAATAAAAAGAAAGCATACCTTGTGTGCTTTGATTTTTCTGTCAGCAAGAGATGTGTGATAGTGTGGCATTTTTTCCTAAGTAAGTCGTCCATTAGCAGAAAGAGAAAAGACAAGAAAAGGTGTGGTCACCTCCTCAGTGCAGAAAGCAAGCTTTCAGTGGACTACTCCAAGAAAGCAGCAGAGCTTTAAAGCCTCTCTGCATTAGCCTCCATTTAAAGTACTGAGAAAGAAAATAGAAAAAAAATAGCAATCATCCCAGACTACTTAGAGAGCTGGTGGAAGAAATCTCAGAGCTGTTAGTGGTTACCTTTAAAAGCTCAAGGAGTGCAAAGGTCCGGAAACTGGCAAAGATGCTATCTATCATGTAAAAGAGAAAGGGAAGATGGAAAGGGAGAAAGGAAGAGCCAAAGAGTTATAAATTGATCAGTATCAATTCCTGGAAACATCCTGGAACAAATAAGCTACAGGTGAACTTCTGCAAGAAAACAGCGAGAAGAGTAACAGCCAAAATAGGCTTGCCAAGAACAAACTTTGAGAGACCAGGCCAGTTTCCCATGATGGCAGGATGCCAGGCCTGACAACAGGAGGAAGAGCAGCACATAGGTATCTGTCACAGGGCGTTCTTGCAAGATGCAGCTAAACCACCCGTAGGTGATCAGTAGAGACAATTACCCATAGCTCCCATCAGGAACAAAGAAGTCACTGAGTAGAGTTCAACAGGAGTCTACCTGGAACCGAGTACTGATTGATATATTAATTAATAAGCTTACTAAAGGAACAGATGTTTATTACATTAGCAAACAACATGCAGGAGAAGGTGGAAGAATGACTGTAAGCATGTTGGGGAGCAGAACTCTTGCTGAAGGGAGTGCACCCTCAGCAAGTCTGCTGACAACACCAA